CTACATGTATCAAACATCAAGTACAGCTATTTAGTGATATAATTCCTAAACTCAAGTGTGTAAAGTACTTTCTGTAGTTCTTGAACAAATTTTATCAATTTTCCTTTATCACCACCTGAGAAATTATCTAATTTGATTAATAAATTTTCCCTTACAGCACTTCAGCTTCAAGCTGAGCACTTGACTGATTGATAGCTAAGTTCTCAACTACATCCTAATCCCCACAGCATGAAGTACTTAAATGTATTTTAATTTGAATCTGAGAAATAGGTAGTATCTCATAAGCTAAATATTACTTTATCTACCAAATAAGTAAAAACAAAAGTTAACATTTTTCTAAACTGAAAATGTATTTCCAATAATACTTATCTCCTCTAACACTTGTAGCTATTACTCAACTGCTGGGGGTTTCTTCCTTTGCCCATCTAAGCATTGGTCTGATTTTTTCACACTTGCTCCAGTTTTTTATACCCTACTTAATTGTCCTTGGCGATATTTGTCTCGTGACACTCTCCACTAATGTCAATGTGCCCTCTATCCTGGTACTGTATATAAGCACCTCATTCAGATAATGTTATCACTTTTTCGAGACTTACTCAATCCCAGTCTCTAACACCAGCTCTTAGTGGGGAGGAAGGGTGGGAGATTTGTGAAAAAGAAGTAAGTATTATTGGAAACACATTTTTGATTTAAGAAAATGTTAACTTCCAAAACATACTTACCTCCTCTCACACTACAGTTGGAATCCCACATTGATAAGGTGGAGGGGCTGGTGAGGGCATTATCCATACAGAAAGCATATACATAAATCATGGGTGTGTGTCAATACAAGATTGGCACCCTAGTGGAGGAACCGCACTACATCCAGAACAGGTATGCTCTTTACCCTGAACCTAATTCCTGTATCATGGTGAAACTGTATATGAGTGATCATCACCATAGGCCAGCCCCAACCAGATAGTCGAGGTTCCACTACTTGGGGTTGGAATTAAGGGGTTTTGGTCCCTATATAACCAGGGTGTAGCAGCCAATCTGGTGCTATCAACAGGATCCGACAATGGGTTGGAACAAATCATATTTAGTACCGTGGGTAACATATGAATTGAAGAGAAGGCCTAGAGTTTTAATCCTGACCTGTCAGATGGAATGCATCCATTGCCAAAGCCTGAAGGTGAGGTACTAAAGACCAAAATGCCAGTTGTTTGGTGATCCAATGAGAGGCCAACCCACCAATCAGAGTAGCAAAATTAGAGCCAATCCAACAGAACTTTGTGATTCTGCATCTATTCTGTTGGGATAATCAGTGAGGATTGAAACAATTGACCTGCTACCACATGTATCACCCTAGGAACATGGCATGCTAGTAGATTATTAGATAGGTATGGACCCGAGAAAGGAGGTCCAAGGAGCCCTGGACCAAATACCTCCTTGATGATAAAAAACAAGACACTTGATGATCTTCCCCTTAACCTTTTACATAAGGATCATGGGTCAAAGGCCATGTGATTTCGTTTGTTGACTCTCATTAAAATTTTATGAATTTACGTCATTAAGTATGGAATCAAACTGTATATTATAATTCAAATTTTCATAATATACATTATTTAATTTCTTAATTTAAAAGTAAATATTAAAAAACACACCTAAACATTGATTTTTGTGTGTTATGTGGTATGTTGAATGCAGCACTGGTTAAAATTAGATGTTTCTGATGTTAAAATACAAAGTCTACAGTTTTGTATGGGTTAGGAACTCAAATGAAAAGCTAGAATATAAAATAGTAACCTCCAATCTTTTCTACTTGTTGAGATTATGCTCATGTACTGAATCAAACAGTGGTCCTGCTCACCTTATTCCATTTTTAGAAAAGGTCCTTTATATACACTTACTTCTATATACATAACACGTGAATAACCAATCCAAATCTCAGAATGTCGCTCAAGTGGTTTTCTCAGCCATTTTCAAATACAACAGCACTGTCTCTTTCTTTGGAGACAAACATTTGTGCTGTTGAGTCTTTAGCCTGTTTGAAATTTCATATTTTTAGACCCAAGTACAGCTTAGTTACTAAACTTGATAAATTATAGTGGAATTCTATGATATTGATATAGTAATTTATGATTTTTTAGTTATTCAACTGTATATATAAAAAACCTTAAAACATTTAATTTCACTTCCTCCATGTGCAACCTATGATAAGCAGCAATCGAGTACAAAGGTCGTAACTAGAAAAGATAATTGTTTGTTTTAATTCTTTATTTACTGTTCTATGTTTTAAGAAAAATAAGTTTCAAAACTTATTTGTATATAGTAATAATGTATTACATCTCAAATGTGGCTGTATTTTACAAAATACTAAGAGGTCACTTTTATATTCTTGGATACAGTAACATGAGTGCATGGGCACCACGTCATTGTAATTTCTGTGATGTTAAACAGCGATGGCTGAAAGGTCAATATGATAAAAATAATAAATATATATATAAATGTATAATGTTATGACATTTAAGCTATTTTAGACTAAAAATTTGTGTTTTCAAGTTATAATTTGTAGTCATTCTAGAAAAACAAAGCATAATTTATAATTACTTTTCAATTTGTTATAGCGGTTATGAGATTAATCAAATCTACTGAACACGTACAGAGATTCTGATTCAACAGTGAAAATGACACATAAAATATAAAGTTTTTCTTAAAAACATTTGATAATTATGTGGAGGCTATAAAGGTTTTACATGTGAAATTTGAAAATTTTCTGTTGCATAAAAGTATTTTTAATCTTAAAATCAAAATTACTCTGCATGATAGATAATCAACATTCTGAAAAAAAAACATTTTATGAGAAAATCTTTAATTAAAAAATCTTAATACTTAATTCAAAAACCTGATATTTTTGTGTAAGAAATCTTGTAATGTTTACATATAACCTGCAAAAGTTTATAAACATGTGCATACATCATCAAAAATCAGAGTATAATTACTCTAATGGATACTTTTGTGGTTATGAGCTGTATGGATTCCACCCAACCCATAATTGAAGGGTTAATAAGCCCAGACAATGAGGCATTCATTGCCTGTTGAAGAGTAAGAAGGACTAAACATTGTAGGGAAGTCTCTTTGTCCATACATAGATCCTGGAATTCCTGATTGTTGGTATATGCACCCCATCCATGAACCAAGGCATTTCGTGAAAAGATGAATCTCTGGACAAGGTGGCGGTAGAGGAACCCATATCGTAGGAGTGTCCCAAGTTAACAACCCCTCAAGATCGAAGAATGAACCCAACTAAGGAAACTGGGAAAAAAAACAGTGAACTGATTTTTATGATCACTTGGTCACATAAAGACCATTAAAAGGATCTTACTCTTGTCCCAAAGGCATAAGGGGTTTGAGCGATGTCCACATTCCAAGAAGAGAAAGAACCATCCGTGGCATGGGAGAAGGAGATGTAAGTAAGAGTCTGACGTCTTATTCCATAGTGTTGAGCCAGATGGGAGTCAACTCAGCCCAACTGAGAGACGAGATGAAAAATAAAAAACTACCCAGACTGATGACATATGGAATTGGAGAAAGGATAGATGTCTCAGCCTTTAAAATGAAACCTGCCTTGGTCGTTTCTGAAAGTAGAATCAGGATGTGATGTTCTGACAATTGATGAGGTAGTGCCAGCAGAAACCACTTGTCCATGAAATGGTGTGTGCACAGTGCAATGGAATGGAAGTAAGGAGAAAAGCTGTACAATAGGGCAGAACCCATGTGAAGCAGATGCGAGTCCAAAGGTAAAAACCTGGAACAGCAGTACCTGACCCTCATGCACAACAAACACCGATAGTGGTGGTACTCCAACACTATGACAATGTGCAGACAGGAGCCGACTGCAGCAAACGTGGACAGCTACAGTCCCAGTAAAAAAAAAGTCAACTAAGATTGATGAATGAGTAACGTGTGAATCTTGGATAATCTAGGCATGGATATAGATGAGAAAGATTAATGACTGGACCCCAATCTCCTGTCTTTATAGAACAAACAACCAACAGGAATAAAACTGCGGAAAAACTAGCACAGCTCAGTCACTACCCTCAGACCAACCAAACTCTGATAGCCTTAGAACTAAGTTTCAACTCCCAATGATCTGTGAGAGACAGAAACCCTACAGGTTGGGTGGATAATAGAGGTAAGATATGAACTGAATAGTAAATCCTGACTCAAGGACCTGCAGTTCTTCTGGATCCTTGGTTAAGGTTACCACACATCCACAAATTCTTGGAGCGGAGTCCCCACAGACCCTGAAGATATACAATAATATCTGATGGCAATCCAACCAAGCAGTAGAACCCTTAGATATAGACAGAATCTATTCTGTGTACCAAGGGGCTGATATCAGTGGTCGGGAACCACGAATAGGAGTGGAACTATGACCCCCTATAGGAGCCGATGAAGTTTGAGACACCAATGACAACAAGGATGAATGTAGAAGCCAACAACTGAACCAATGTGCATGCTAACAATGGTTTCAGCTCATCATCAAAGAAGTTGGTGATCCTGAAAATTTACCAACAAAGTGAAGTGAAAGAAAATCAAGATGTTGGATTTTAGAGTTGCATTTTTAGTTTATATATCATTTAAAGACTGTGCTGATTACCATTGATCAAAACAATATTTGGTCAGGTAAGTTTATTTTGTTACAGCAAAG